AGTATTGTATCAGCAATTGGTTGACAGCATTGATGTCCGCATCACTCGATTCACGCATTTCTTCGCATATATTCACAAATATATACAGTTTTCCCAAAACGTATGGATTCTGGCATTAAATAAAAATAAATTATTTAATATTATTGATAAAACATAAATAAATAATCTATGTGTTAATACTTGATTCATATTAAAACAGTTATCATGAGAATTATCAACGAGTTTTCGATAACATTCCCTATTATTGAGCTCTTGTTTAGTGTTTAGAATAGCATTGCTATCGACTGTCAGTAAGTGTTGAATACTATTCACGTATTCAGTCATATGTTTGTCCACATATTGTCTCTCATTTAACAAACTTTTTAATTCTTCGGTATATCTATAAATAAAATTATAAAATGTTAAAATAATAGAAATTAATTTAATTAATAAATAAAAGTACTTTTGTCTATCAACATCATTATTTGCGTTTTCAATATTAGCTTCTATCATGTAAACACGCACATCTCTGTCAGATACTACGTGCATATTTACTCGCGTTTCAAGATTAATTCTTGATGGTAAGATACTATCACTTTTTCTCGCTCCTATTTAAAACAATTGAACATGTTAAAACATTTAATAAATAATTCACTATTTAATGTAAAATGATTTATACCAATAAAATCTGACACGGGTAACTTTGCGATTGAAACATCACCATATTGCTGTGCCTGTTGGGTAAAATTTTCTGCATCTACCTGACCAGGCGTGTTTGTCCATTTATATATGTAATCAAACTGTTGCTGCAGGGTCTCTTTGTTTAAATCAACTTGCTCGTCGTTTAAAAGCCAGTAGTGAGCGAAAAAACTGCCTAATAATTAGCATTATACAATATTATTAGACTGTAAATTAATATTGAATTTTATATTATGTATTTAATATGCATGATAAATTTAAAATACTTGGATTTTAAAGAAATATAAATGTGCATTTAATTTACCTATGGTAGTGTGATAGTATTTATCCGGGTACATTTTGCCACTCATTTTAGTGGGTGTTGATGAAGTAATGGCGTATACATTGATATCTTTTGGTAATAGTTTGTTAAACATTGAGCCTATGATTTGCATCATAATGTAGTGGTATTAATTATGGTAAAGTGTTGTAATACATTTACATTTATTTAATAATAGTGTTGTAATAAACATTACCTGATTCGCAGGCTTCCAAATAAAACACTAGTTTCCCGAACCGTTTGTTTTGGTGCATCTCTATTAAGGCATCGTTTAAGTCCTTTGCGTGAAGGTATTTGCGTTGAAATAGGATTATCTCTATATTGATATAATTACATAGTTGTTAGAGAGAGAGAGAGAGAGAGAGAGAG